TTTCTTTATTTTTTATCTATATCCTAAAAGAATTAAATATTTAATAAATAAAATATAAAAATTTTCAAATGTCTCAATATGTCATATATATTTATTTAAAAAATAATTTTTTTAATTCATTAGGAGGCTTAATAGGCCGAAATAAAACTACGGGCTACACAACAAAATACCCTAAACTCACCAAATTGGTAAAAACACTTGTAGTCAAGACGATTCGAATTCGAGACCTTTCACTCCTCATAAAAATGAGAAAACTATCGGACCACACATGATTAGCTTAAAAAATAATTTTTATAAATATATTCTAATAAAATGTAATTTTCTAATTGGTTATGACTAAGTTAGGATATTCTAAATTTCATTGAGTGCGCTATCGGAAATCCCTTTATTCCCACCTATTCCCACTTTTATATATAGTACTAGTCTTCTTTATGACGTGCGTTACATGTTGACTATGCTCGTTATATGTTCATTCTTTATACTCATTTAATTTTTTATTTATATAATTAAATCTTATTTAAATTGAGAGGTTAATTTATATTACACTTTATATATATAGTAAATATTTTTGATTGTATGTCAACAATTGATTCATTACCAATTTTATTATATGTTAGCTGCTTTTCATTTTCTTTTTTTAAGGAAAAACCCATTTGACAGTCGTTTTTCACAAGTATACGAAATCGCAAACAATTAATAAAGAGTGAGTAGGTATCGTCCCACGAGAATTGTATACCAAGTACCAAATTTTGTGTTAACCTACTATTATTTAAACGGCAAATAAGAGGAATTATTTTAAGAAATAAGTTTTAACAATAAAAGAGCAATTAAAAAGAAATCAAGCAAGGAATATTTGATGAAAAGAAATCAAGGATTTAAAAGCTACTAGAATTTTGACTTTCACTTAATTCTATTCCAAATTTTATTTCTTATTAGGTTATGATAATTTCAATTTTAATTGTTCCAAGTATTGGGAGAATAACCCTAAAATCACAACCCTAAAATCACTAACAAGCTCTCCCGATGTATTGTTTGCTATTTTAATCTGGTCTAATTACCTATCTTCCAATAGCGCAATCAAACATGAATTAAATCATTAAGTTTTATGGTTTATTTATAAATTCATACTTAAGGTCATTAACTTATGAAAACCCCCATGAGTCAAACCATATAGCTTCTGCATCAAGATTATTCCCATGTAATTTATTACCCTTTTCATATCAAAAACCCTTCTCCCGATAGTGATTAATAAAATAAAACAATCTAGGGGAGAAACTCTGCCCGAAAGTATTAAATTCAATAATAAATTATATCATGGATAAGGAAAAACAAATCTAATATTATAAATTGAAAAAGAAATTAAGCCACATCAAATTCCTAGTATGGGAATTTAGTTTGACATAGTAATTAAATAAACTCAATTAAATTTGAAAATAATTCCATAATCAATATGGATGATGAAAAGTAAAAACAAGATTAAGAGTTTAGAGATAAAAACTAGCTAACAAATAACATGGACGACTTCTTTGAATCTTGACACAAATCTTGAGTACTTGACATCTTAGAGAGAGAGAGAGAGAGAGAGAGAGAGAGAAAATAATAGAACCAGCGATGGTATATACAATGAATCCAACCCCTGATCATGGCTAGTCTCTCTCTTTATATAGACTTTCTGGAATATCTTCATGTTCATTTAGGAAAGTGAATCTCTATTGAGTAAGAAATCTTTTGGAGATAGTAAAGTAAAATGTTTAGGTTTTGTATTTCTTCTCAATTATGACTCTCCCAGCATCTAAATAGGATTTAAACTTGATTCGCACGTTAGAAAAGCATCTTATGCGGGTCCATGCAAGCGGCACGGGCTAGAGTTATTGTTTTCGGCCCAATACGAAGTCAAGCATTCAGCACTAGCGTGCTATATGGCATGGCTTGGGCGTGCTAACCTCTGCTTAGGAATACTCTTTTTTGTATTTTGGCTGATTTTCTATAAAAATGTAATAAAATTCTCTAAGATCAAGTGAAATGTGATTCAAAGAAGTTTTAAACAAAAACATAAATAAAATTAAATAAAAAATAATTAAAATAATTAAAAATACTAAAAATTATAATAAATACTATATTAAAAATACTATAAAAATAACACCTATCAAAATTGATTTATAAAAATCATCATATAGCTTCTATTATACGTTTTATAATTAATTTACATGTTTTGTTAATAACTTTCACTGTACTTTCACTGTTCTTTATAAAGGTTAAAATAAATATCGTTATAATAGAATAAGAAAATTAAATCTATAAATTCCCAAATTAAATATTTATAAATAATAATAAATTTTTTATTTTTTATTTTTTTATTTTTTTAGCCAATCAAAGTCATTGAAAGTAGTTTTAAAAAGCTATTAATAAAATTATATTCTTTATTAGAAATAGCACTTGAATTATATAAGATATCCAATATACTAATTAAATTCAAGATGTTAAAATAGTAATTTTTTATTCTTATTTTTTGGCTAATTAAATTAGACTATAATTTGTAATTAAGAAATTTAATTATTAATCATTTTTTAAATTAATCTGAATCATCTAGATTCTATTTATTTAAAATAAATAAAAAAATTATAAAAATTTTAATATTTAAAATAAATAAAAAATATAAAAATTTTAAATGCCTCATTTATATATATTATTTAAAATAATAACGTTGAAGCTAAATTATAAATTATAATAGTAATAAATTATTAAAAATTATTTTATAAAATATAGATGCCAATTTTTTTGTTTTGTAAAAATTTATTTTATATAAAATAATTATCTTTTACAGAATATTATGAAATATTTTCAATTATTATAAATTATTATGCATTAAAAAATTTAATTTACCATAAAAATTCGGTTCCCTCAGTTCTCTTTCTTTCTTTTCTTTTCTTCTTTTTTTTTTTTTTTCTGTTGAAAATGCCATGATAATAGGCACGGCTAAAAAATTATGTCACACGAGGAAATTAATGAAGCATCAACTCTACTCCCTTTTGCATGAATCAAAACTATTATTCTCTTCAGTACGTTGCCGATCACATTGCAATAAAATCTCCGGTAGGATCCACACAAAGATTGAAAACCATAAATGAGAAAAAATAAAGGTGTGACAGGTTCTCCATTATCAAATAATCATTTTAATGGAAGTAAATTTTTTATTAAATGTCAATCAGATCAATTTTTTTTATTAATATAAGAAACGTGAAGTTTTGACTTCAAGTACTTTTAATTATAGAATTTTTTTAATTACAGAGTCTTTATCGCTTTTGATGAGTTAAAGAAAAGAGCTATCTCTAATATCCATTCATCATATTATTTCTTCATATAGACCTCTCAGTCACAATAAATGAAAAGATTTATTATTAGATATTATATTAATTTATATATATTTATATATTCAGTCAAATATTAATTATTAACTAAAAAATTTTTATTAATATTTTAATAAGTTAAGAATAAAAAAATAAAATAATTTTTATTAATTAAATTTTTAATATGCATGATTTATCAAATCATCCAAACGTAAATAAAATTTTTCGGAGAATATATAAATTATTATTGCTGTTTTATGTTTATTTATCCCTTTTGTAGGGGCCAACGAAAGAAAAGTAGGGACCACTTTCGTTATTCAACGAAATAAGGTCCAAATGGACCTTTTGGTGGTTGTATAGCACATTCTGATTTTGAGATTGGATAAAGATACATATAGTGCATAGGAGAGACTAATATATTGGGTTTGGTTGCACACCTGTATAGACACTCGAAGCGTATCCCTGGCTGGATCATATGGAAGCCATAAATAATATATATACATAAATAATTAAAAATAATAACAAGACAATATTATTTTACCTTATTTGGCAAGAAGATTTTTCTCCAAAATTTTCTTTTCAAATTGAAAAAAATTGAAAAGTTATATCAATGTATTAATAAGGGAAAAATAATTTATTTACCTTATAAAATATATTAAATTTTACTTTTTACCTATAAAATAGTGATTTTTTTGATATTATCCGCTCTAAATTTTAAAAATATTTTTTCGCCCCTTCTAATTATTTTTTTTTGTTCAGCCACTTCTTTTATTTTTCTTCGTTATTTTCTTTCCTTCGATTTATTTCTGAAACAAAATGTTATATTCTGCCCTAAATAGTGTGCATTTTACGGCAGAAATTTTTTTTCCCTTAATAATTTGATCATCAATGAGATTTTAACCTAAAATCATATAATATCTAAATAAACTTATATGATAAAGTTTATTTTAAGTATGAAACATGCTATTTTATTATACCAAAATTAAATTTGTCAGGGTTAAATAAAAATTTTTGCTTGAAATAAATAAACTAAACTTAATTCTATCTCATCAAAACAACAAACACTTACCCAAGGCAAAGAAAAAGAAGTACCAAACTAGAAGCAAAGCCAGCAAAAGGCTTCAGCTCTAAGATTAGTTTAGGGTTTATCTCCTCCCCAAGAAAATCACCATTTTCATGAATATGTTATTCCTTTGTTTTTATTGTACATGTACATGTATTTTTAACAGGAATGTCAGATACAGGTTAGTGACCTAGTGGTCACACACACAACAACTCTTTTGTACTCTCTCTCTCTCTCTCTCTCTCTCTCTCTCTCTCTCTCTCTCTTTCTCTCTCTCCTCCTTCTCCTCTCTCTCTTCTCTCTCTGCAAGTCTTGACATAGCTCTTTTGGTGGTTATATTTATAACTATTTCTTTCCTTTCCTTTATGCACATGGTCTACCTCTCTCTTGCACTTTCTTTCAGGTCTTTGTATTATTCTTCTTCGTTCTCTCTTCCAATTGGAAGAACCGCATTCGCTTTCCTATTTGCCTTGACCCAAAGTGTACTTTCATTGCCTTATTGTTGTTTGTCGTTGCTTTTTGCATCTCAGAATATAGCTTTTTTTTTATTTTTCTCTCTCTCTCTCTCTCTCTCTCTCTCTCTCTCTCTCTCTCTCTCTGCAAGTCTTTGACATAGCTCTGGTGTTATATATAATATTTCTCCTGTCTTTATGCACCTGTTACCTCTCTCTTGCACTCTTTCAGTCTTTGTATTATCTTCTTCTTCTCTCTTCCAATTGAGAAGAACCGCATTGCTTTCCATTTGCCTTGACCAAAGTGACTTCATTGCCTATTTCTGTTTGTCGTCTTTTGCATCTCAGAATATAGCTTTTTTTTTTTTTGCTCTCCCTGGCTCCTTGTTTCTCCTCCCACACATTTTGCTCATCTGGGTTTTTAATCTTACCTTTGCTTTTGTAATCCAAATTCCAAAATTAAAAAAGACTTTTGTTTATAAGTGGGTTGTTTAGGCTTTTCAGTTGGGTCATGACAATTTGCTGTGATCTTGAAGTAGATGTCAATGGAGAAGAGACTTTCATGGTTGATAAGGTAAAAGGCTATTCTTTTACTCTAGTTTTTCATTTTCTTTTCAGTAATTTGCTTCTTGCAGCTTTTCATTTCATTAGATTTGACATACTTAACTAGACATTTGCCTCTAATTCGTTACTCTATCCACATATGTGTATATCTAGTTCTTTATTTTGTTTCATTTTGGTTTTAATTAGTCCCCAATCTCTGGCTCTGGTTCTGTTATGCTTTTCTTTTGTTTGTTGGATGTGGAGTTTGAGTATTTTCATGTAGTTTTTCTATGATTTCTATGGTTGCACAAGAGGCTATTAAATTTACAACTGCATTGAAGTAATGTGGGGTATGCTTCTAATGGCTTCTTTTCTTTGCTTCTATTTTGGCTACTTGTTATCACCATTGTCATTGTGTAGGCCTTTCTTTTTCTTTTCTTCTCTCATTATTAATTGCCCTTGTCATGGGGTGGCTTAAATGTTCATACCTTCGTTTGTTTTTATTCACTCCTTTTAAGAAGGGAAAAAAGGAGTTGCTTTCGTTACGTTTATTACTGTATATTACCCTTCTTTGCTGGGTTGTTTCTCAGACATCTTTTCTTGTAATTGCCCCATGCACAATTTATTGTCTATAACGACCTCACAGCTTTTTTCTTATTTTTTTCCTCCTTTCAGGTTTAGCAGTAGATTCCCCTTTTTTCCTCTTGCCTTTCTTGTTTTGCTAAATCCATTGAGTTAATTCTTTTAATGCTTAATTTGGGCAACGAAGAAAGTGATTGAAGGTAGTCTTCATTTATATTCCTCGTTTTACTGAACAATTAGTTATTTACCTCTTGTACCTTAACGAGTCTGTTGCCCAGTTAGTTTTATCAGATTACGTGCCTGTTTGATTAGCAGTTTAGCCATTACAGTTAGCTGTTGGCTGCCACTGGATGTCAGCATATTTTTTTATCATTTCAAACCATTAACACTAGATCTTGAAATGCTGCTCAAGCCATTGGGTATTCCGAACAACAAAATCAGTGGTTCAGAGCTCAAACATTAAATACTAGTTCCAAACTGCTCATCCAAACTAACTATAGCCTTTAAGTTTATTTCTTCTGTGCTTTTGTTCGCCGTAAATTGTTTCTTTTCTGTTCCTTGTAAAAGAGTTGTGTCAATCAATCCCATGTCTCAAATTTTTTTGTATATATCCATGTATAAATAATTGTTTTCTGATTCTGTTTTCGATTGAATATTCGCAGAAGCTTATTTCCTCATATTCAGGCAGATTAAGCAAATTATTTGGTAAATCATCGATGGGTTCTTCAAGAAATTTCAAAGTCATATTCAATGATTTCCCAGGAGGGGCTGAATGTTTTGAGCTCCTTTCCAGGTTCTGCTACAACAGTGGTAGAATTGATATAACTCCTTATAACATTTTACTACTTAATTGTGCTGCACAATTCATGGAAATGGACAATTCTGTTTCTGGAAATCAAAACTTATTGGAACAGACTGAGAAATCACTTCAGGAGATTAATGATTGGACATGGTCTGAGCTATTGATCACTATAAAGCAGTGCCAATGTTTATCTTCCTTGGAAAATTCTGTACCTGTTCTTGAGAAATGTATGGATTCCCTTATTGGAAGAATGGCTTTGTCAAGTGAATCAAGTCCATGTCTATCCACTTCTTCCTCTGATAGCTCAGGGATTCGGTTTTCATGTGACACCAGAAGTACTGCCGAGAGTTTGAAGAGTGGCTTCTCTAGAACAACTTGGTGGTTTGAGGATCTTTTGGTTTTGAATGTTGATTTGGTTGAAATGATGATAAAATCAATGGCCTCACATAAATTTGATCATTCAATTATTAGTAAGTTCCTCTTTTATTATCAGAAATCAAAATCTTACAATGCTAGATCTGATGAGAAGCGAAAGATTGTTGAAACCATAATTGATATGCTTTATATTCTTGATTGGAGTTCTGTTTTATGCAAGAACCTTTTCGGGATCCTTCGATTTACTTTGAGTTTGAATATAAGTAAATGCAGCAGAAGCAAGTTGGAGAGAATGATAGGTTCCAAAATGGATCAAGCAACTCTAGATAATCTGCTTATTCCATCTCCATATGGGATAACTTACTTGTATGATGTTAATCTTGTTTTAAGATTTTTGAAGGCATTTTTACATGGAGAAAATGGTCAAGTAAATCCAATGCAATTGAAGAAAGTTGCTAGGTTGCTGGATTCGTACATAGTAGAAGTAGCCCCAGATCCTTGTTTAAAAGCTTCCAAATTCTTAGCCTTAGTCCTTGCCTTACCAGACTCTGCTCGAGACTGTTACGATGAAATCTACCATGCCACAGACATTTATCTCGAGGTAGTGCATTTTTCCTACAATTTTTGCTGTGAGTTCAATTCACCTTTATTTTTTTTATTAATTGGTCTCTAACCGGAAATTTGCAACCATACAGCTGTGGTGATGACTACAGCTCTAACTTAATGGTGAAATGATGTGATAATTAAGTTAAATCCTTTCTTAATGCCATTACTGGATGCTAATTTCATAAATGATCTTAACCATAAGTTTCATTTTGAAATTTAATTATCCAAAACAGAAAAAAGAAAATGTATATAGTTCATATCTACCATTTTTTTTTCTGTAGTTAGATTAAATCTGATCTTTTATGCAGGTGCACAGTGGATTATCTGAAGAAGAAAAGATGAAGATATGTTGTGCATTGAACTATGAAAAGCTTTCAGCTGAAGCTTGCATGCACCTTTCTCATAACAAGAAATTTTCATCAAAAAGTGCAGTCCAAGCCCTCCAATCACAGCATCTCAAGCTTAAGAGCCTACTCAGTGGAACCAATAATTTGGAAAGCAAGGTGAATGAAGTCAATGAACAAATTGTGCTTTATGCTGGCAAACTTGAAATTTCAACTGATAGTGAGAAACTTAGAGCACATTTGCAAGGAATGCAATGGAGGGTGATGGAATTGGAGAAAGTTTGCAAGAAAATGCAAACTCAGATGACAAAAATTATGAAGTCATCAAGAGTACCAAGCCATAGTAATTCCAGGTCTTTACCCAGGCTTTGTTCATGATACTATGATAAAAATAATATTTCTTGATATAATTATGTCTATTATGTATTTAAGTATGTACATAGCAATGACAATTATTATTATTATTTTAAAAAAAAAAAAAGTTTTGGGTTTTTAATAGTGTTTCTATCTAAAAGGAAACAGATATTGTCATGATCTTGATTGTACAGCTAATTATAGAAAAAGAGAGAAAACTTTTGTGTGTTTTGTCAGAATTAGTGTCTTTATATTCTCTCTATATTGTTGTCCCAAAGGTCAAGTCCTTTTCCAAGTCATTCTCATATGCAGGCAAACTATAATGCAACTTCACAACTTGGCATATGACAGTAATTTAGGTATTGAAAGTAGTAATTCTAAAATAGCAGAGTCCTAATTATGACATCTTGGGGTATTGTAGTAATTTACCCATTGGAAATTGGTGGGATGCCAAAAAGAGAGCATGTTTCATGAAAGCTGATTTGTTAGAAGTTAGAACTTATTCATATGGAACAATATTTTTATTTATTATTAGACTTGAAATGTTTCAATTTGTTAAACCAGTCATTGCTTAAGTGTTTATCAATCTTAGCAATTTACATTTTTCATAACAAGATTCCTGGCTTGCAGGTAAGATAGCTAATCTTACGGGGGTTTTTTTTTATATTATAAGCTCGACCTTATATAGGAAAGGGCTTATCAACCATTAGATTTTAAAACTATATTATAACCAGATATGTTATTTAAAATGATTTTAAAATTTTATAAATCAAATATAGATTTTGACTTGTGTGTTGAACAAGTAGTCAAATTGCTAGTTACGAATCTCAAAAGTAATTAAGTAAGAAATTTATATAAGAAGGAACTTGTGTTGACTTCAACAACTATGAGGCCAAAGAGAAAACTTTAATTTAAAAAAAAAAAAAAAAGACTATATGGAGACAAGGAAATTTTAATACTCTTGACATGAAAGAGATCTATAAATTATTTGGGTGTTGGATAATATGATACTCTATCAACTGGCAAATCCAGCAATGCATGGCATGGACGGTGTGATATTGATGTGCATTATTGATCAAATACGTTCTACTCACCTCAAGCCAAGTTGGTCTGGATGGAAAAGAATAAAAACGTTTGAAAAGAGTATTTTGATGTTATAAGCAGTCTAATCATCAATTTCATAAAGCTTCTAGACTAACAAGACAAAAATTATAAAAAGAAAAATATTTTCTTTTGAAATAATTTCAAAAATAAAAATTAAATCCATCAATTAGCAATTAACAATGTACAAAATAAATATTCATTCGTTGAAAGAGTAGGTTGAGCCTTTGTAAAATTTTATAATTTTCTAAATTTAAACCCGATAAAAATAAGTCAAAAATTAATTAATGAGGAATATGCTAATTTGCTAACCAAAAATATATATAGTACAAACTGACATTGTCGGTGATTTCTCTTTTAGTTTTCTTTTCAAGCTTGACAATTATGACTCACAAATTTACATTGACTCTACAATTTCTTTCTATTTTTATTCTTTTTACATGCAAAATTGTGATTATATATAAAATTATTATAGTACAAAATTGACATTGTCAGGTGATTTCTCTGTTTAGTTTTCTTTTCAAGCTGACAATTATGACTCACAAATTTACTGACTCTACAATTTCTTTCTATTTTTATTTCTTTTTACATCAAAATTGTGATTGTATAGACTATATATATATATTATATATATAAATTAAATATACCCGCTTATTGTCTATAGTATGGGCCCAAATTACAGGAAGCATGTTTCGTAAGAGGCCAACACTATAGCTTAGAACGCAAAGTGGGTTCAGGCTACTTTCGCCGTGAGATTATGAATGTTCTATATATATATAAAATTAAATATACCCGCTTATTGTTATAGTATGGGCACCAAATACAGGAAAGCATGTTCGTAAGAAGGCCAACACTAATAGCTTAAGAACGCAAAATGTGGGGGCTAATGGGATTATGAATGTTTTTACTTTATTTATTGAGTGTGGCCCTAAATTACTTGATGATGTGCTTAAGTTTTGAACCCCACGTTAATAGTGTAAATGACAATGATGAGCCTTTGAAGACGAAGAGGCTCAAATTCTAAAAAAATGTTTTGCACTCCATTATTTCCATTGATTTATATAATTGTTTCTTTTTTTTTTTTTCCACTGTAATCTCATGATTATAGACACTACTGTGATTTTTCGTTGAAAGGTATGTATTATTATGAAGTGCTAAACGCTAATTCGAAAATTTACCTAAAGGAGATGTTTGAACAAACTATTTATGTAAAAGCAGTTGTAATATTTATCAAATGCCATTAGCAAACATATTTTTACACAAATAAGTGTGATCTGTTTGATATTTTTATTTATGTGAAATATGAGAAGTTTTAAATTCGAGTCCTTTCGACTACAACAGTTTTCACTAATTTAGTGAGTTAAGAGGAGGACTAATCTGTCTTCAAAGTTTACGGACTCAAGATTAATAAATAAAAAAAATGAAATTGAAATATGTAATTTGTATAATATGATGAAAATTATCTTATAGTATAATTACAATTAAAATTATACATACATAATTATTTATGTAATTATAAATTATATAATAAAATGTATATTATTAATATTTATAATATGTATATAATTAGAATGATTATTATTATAATATTTATAATCATGGGAATGGAAGTGAGACGGGCATTTTAGGGTACCCGCTCTATTTCGACTCATTTAATGAGGTACATATATTTATAAATAGGTTTGAGACGAATACGGATAATAAAATTATTACCTTTAACGGATACAAGTATACGTAACGAATACAAGTATATGACTATAGGTACTCGGTATCCATTAGTTGCTATAATAAATAGTTTTGGCCATGGGTACCCGCGGGTACCCTACCCATTTATTAGTAAAATGTATTTTAACTAAGATTAGACTTTGATAGTTTAAAATTTGCGGAACCCTACTCATTTAAGGGTACTTTAAACAGATTCGGAGAGTAAAATTTTAAATGAATTCAGATATTGATACTTAAATGAATATTTAAATGAGTTTGAGATGGATAAAGTAGTAAAATTTTAAACAGATACAAATATGGATAGTTCAAATTTACGGATATCCTCCTAGCTTTCATGACTAATCGTATGTTTGAATCATAGCGTAATAAATTGTTACCAAATAAAATATAAATTGCCACATTAACATGGCCCAAGCACAAATTAATAAAGCAATGGCAACACGACAAAAATGCTAGGCACTTAATACTAACTACTCCATTCCAAAATTTATAATTAGTAACCTGAAAGGAAGTTAAGTACTATTCAAATACTGAATACCGAAGTTTCTAATTAGTAACCTGAAAGTAGTTTTCAAATTTGTACATAAAGGACCCTGCATCGTATCTCAAAGGTATATTCATTCAATCCAATTAAGCAATAAGCATTCCGTAGCTTTTTCTAACTTGAGTATCGGAATGTCTGTAGGTATCCCCTGCCCGATGCTCCACCAAGCCGTTCGCTTCCAACCACCATCTTGATCTGCTATGCGCATATCTATCCATGAATTTATACTAGCAAGTATCAATTGGCGACGTTTGTGGAAATCCTATTGACAAATTAAGCTTTGTCTTTAGCAAACACGGAGAACAATAGCCTCAAAACTCAAAAAAGAAAGAAAAACCAAGATAAAGAACTTCCTTTTACAAATAGAACAGTTAAAGAAGCGCGTTTGATAATGAACATTGAGTAACTTGAAGAATCATGAAATAGTCCTGAAATTAAAATAATGCTTGAATAACTCATGTCGGAGATAAATCACTTTCGTCCGATAATATTTTGGCAGAGGAACTCCTTTCTAAATTTAAAATTTCAATCTTAAAAGAATATAATGGGTCTGGAGATCCACGTAGCCACCTGGCTACATTCAAAATAACCATGCAACTCTAGAATGTCAAAAGACAAGTAACTGTGCAAAGTATTCCCATCAATTTCGACAGGACCACCTCAATAGTAGTTCACAATATCAAAGAATTAACTCGAAGCTTCCAAGATCATTACGAGGTATTAATCTGACCTAAAAAGATGTATTTTGATCTATAAAAGATAAGATAAAATACCAATGAAAATCTGAGGTAATTCATAGCTCACCAATAACGAAGCGAATCATATGGAAAACCTAAACTATGAAATGACATGTGATGCATTAAGAAAAGAAATTAAGAATAATAAGTTTGCTAATACCTGGTCAAAAAATTGTCGCAGAGTTATCAACAGCTTATGGAATGAGCTCAAAATTATATTCATTGATGATGCCAACTCCGCTCAAAGCTCAGAGCATAGGCAAGATGAATTTCATATATAAAGCCCAGAGATAGATCCTCAGCCCCGTAAACATTTTGGGTGATATACCCCTCTTATTAATACTAGAGAAAGAATACTTTCCTAGGTACAATGACTTCAAATTCCTATAAATTATCCCCGAAAGTTAGATGAATGATTTATTACTAACAGAGATCAGAGTAAATTCTGTAAATTTCATAATGACCATGGTCATACAACTGAGAAATATAGCCAACTCAAAGATGAAATATATATATGAAATTATATATATTAAGTGGGTTATACGGATTATATGTGTCGAGTTTCTGATCCGTATACGATCTATTTAATCAAATTTAATTGAATTTTTGACTCATATATGATCCATTTAATTAAACTGTTTATATGTATCATGTTTATCTTATTAGTTGAATTTTTATATTATGTTCGTATTTAAATATTTAACACGATTATTAAATGGGTTGTGTTTATGTTTCCAGTTGTATCGCGTCTCAGTTGAATTTATGTTGAACCCGATACCCAAACCTTTTTTTACACCTCTACATTTGGCAAGTCAATATAATACTTGTGTAGAAATCTAATGGCAAGTAGAGAATGTGTGGATTTTATACATCTTAATAATATATGTCCCAAAGACCATTATCCTCTACCATTAATTGATCGATCGATAGACTCTACCGTAGGCCATAAAGTTTTCTCTTTATTGGATACCATATCTAGATACCATTGGATCATGATGGAGATACCTTATCAAGATACCATTAGATCATGATGGA